AATGCAAGAACGTTTTTATTTAAAGTGAATATGGTAATTAGTGCAAGAAGGTTACTGGTTATTCAATTATGGCAAAGCACATGAGGGCTATCTGCCTAAAGGAAGGGATGCCTTCGTGGAGGACTTTCTAAGGCAAACTGTTCGTATACACGTTACATATGGGTAAAACCATGAAAACGCCCATGCAACCGGTCCGTTCGCGGGATTCAAACAGAACTACCAGCGTCTTTACCGCTCGGCCGCTGGTGGGCGGCAATAAAAGAAGAAATAATTTATTATATAGTTTAATGAAAACAATAGACAAAGTGATTCAATTTACAGAATTCGTCTACAAGTGTATGTTGCGAATAATAAAAACATTGGGCGCCTAATTAATGAAATCTGTAAATTTAATTGTCAAATGTATAAACCATTATCTTTTTTAATTTATTTTGCATACTCCGTGCTTTTATTATTCTAAAAAAGTCGTTAATGATTCTAATAAAGTATAATATTTAATCTATTAATTCAGAGATATTATATTATAAATTATATTTCTCTTTCTATAGCATTAATTATTACACCTATTTTGAAAAAGCGTATTATGTAAAAACCTTTCTTTTTATCTAATTTTTAGCAAAAGTTCTTTTTTTATGTATCAATGTTTTTAACTTTGCATTTAAATTATCCTATTTATGAAAGTATTTGAAGTATGTTAAGTGTTGATTTCTGGAACATGATTTTGTAATATTAATAAAATTGTTAAAATAATTATAATTTTTCAAGCAATTTATCTACAACTTGTATCAATAAATGATTAGAGTATTTTTGGAGTTGAGTAAATTTATATATAAGCCATATAGAAGTATAAATATAGAATTTGACAAATTGTTCAAGTTTATAATACATACATATAAAAGTTTTATGTATGCTACCCTGGTCTAAAGGCACATCCAGATAACAAGTGTAATGCTTTCCAGTCTCTCATCAGTTTCACTAGAATATTGGTCTCCACTAATTGATATGTTGATCATTGAGGCAAGAGTTAGATTATTATGTGGATGTACGCCATGTGATCAAAAGTGTGTACATCGAATTCTGGACTTGTGGATTCACATTTTTTATTAAATTCCTACTATTAGCTCACAGTGTCCCTGTATTTTGTTCAAAATTTTCAATTCAATTTCATTGCAGTTATATTTGTTCAAAAATTCAAATTTAATAAAATACCTTTTATTCATTCACTCAAGTTCAAATACATTTTTTTAAACTTGTAGCGGATGACACTTCATATTAATGCAGCTTTTTCCCATATCAAAGTCAATTCTTACTTATTTATTCTTGTTTATCGGAACGAAAGATATGCTGTTTTTATTCGCATTACAGCTCAATTCATTTATCATATAAAAATAATATAAAACGCAGCTACGGTACTGTGAACGAAAAATGCTACCCTTAATGCTATCATGGGCCACAACAGTACATAAAGATGCGAGGTAGCACTGTAGATTATGCAGTAATATATCTAGGACGAAAACTTTTCGTAGCAGGTTAAGCATATGTAGCCTTGAGTCATGTGAAATCATTAGATGGAATATTAATTGAAGAACTGGACTGCCTTGCAATAAAGCATTACAAGAGATGGATAGAATGAGAAATTATAGACCATCATCAGCTTCATAAATTAGGAACAAAAGAGTTAATGTTAATAAGGTAACTAAAATACAATTTTTCTTTGTTGACCTAAGTAGGAACTGACTTTAAATTTTTTTATATATCACTTGTTCTGCTTGTTTTCATAATTCTGTGGAACATATTCAACTTTCAGTCATTTCATTATATAGGATATTAAATGAATTAATGCAATTACACATGTATGTAATGTAAGTAATGCGCTGTATAAATACATGCGCATTGAAAGTGATGTAATACAGTAATGAAGAAGAAATTTAAACTATATATAAAATATATAAATATAGTGAACGAAAATATTAAATATGTACTGAACTGCTTTTTACTTTGCATTCCTTTCTCTCTCTCTCTCTCTCTCTCTATATATATATATATATGTATATATATGTAAGTATTATATTTCCTAATAAAGAGTTTTTTATGTATTACTTCTTTTCATTTATATTTAAATTACTTTGCTCATGGAAATTATTATAATTCTGCAGTTATTTTAATGATTGCTATTCAGGTTTAAACAATAAATAAAGTGCATAAGAGTTTTCAGCAGAATTGTGAAAAATGTTTAAAGTTTTTGTCTTACATACGTGATCTAATCCATGTTGCTTCACCTAGAAATTCTTTATGATTATTTAGTAGTAGTTTGTGTTTAAAGTTTACTTAATTTTGTACATATGAAACTAAGAATCAGCATATATAAAATCAATTCATAGTCTAAAATTGTACATACATTTTTATATACTTCTAATGATCCAGGTACAGGACTTCGTATGCATATAACTTTCTCTAGAGTAAAAATGTTAAGTCAAATGAAGATTTTAAGCTGTATATAATTTAAAAAATATTACGTTTTGAAATAAAATATCAGACATATCTTTCCTCTATTATTCGTGTAATATGTGAAGTTAAAAAGAATAGCATGAGAATATTTTATGGTAACATATTTTTTGAATCTATATATTGCATATAAAGCTGAACAATTGTGAAATATGAGCTAAAATGGCTGTCTGACTGGAACTCAAGTAAGATTTTTTTTAAATGAAAAGTATAATTTAATACTAATAATTATTAATAATATATGAATAAGTCCACCAACGGAAAATGAATATTAAAAAGGCAATTAATCTTTTTTTTCCATTTAAAAATTGTAATTTGTGACTGATTATATATACTTCATAGCATTTTTCATTGAAAAATTTGATTCCATCCATATACCCAACTATATAAAATCATGTAACTGTAGGTTCAAAATTTATTTTTAAGACTACTCTTGAAACAGAAATAAAAGCCTTAAATCTTAAAATCATGCTTCAGCCAGTAAAATAACATAATCAGAAAATGCCTACTAACAATTTGCAATACACTGGTTTCATCCTATATAAGACAATTTATCACACCTTAAAAGAGTAAATAAAACTATCTGAAGTGTGTCATTTCACTCGAAGATCGTAGGATGTACTCCACGCCTTAAAAGAATGAACGTGACACTTTTAACAGTTGGGAAAAAAATTATACTAAAGTGAATTTTCACGCGGAGGATGTTGGTTTCATTGTGGTTTAAGGCTGGAGTGGGATGTCACTCATTCAGAAAGAGTCATATTCGAAAGAGTCAAATATGACTCTTTCGAATTTAGTGAGATTTTTTTATATAATGTTGCTGTCACTTTCGCAGATAAATCCTGTTATTCCTTAAAAAAGATAGAGTTATAATTAGTAACCTCAAATTTCATAAATTATAAATTAAGAAATTAGAGAAAAACTTGTTTTTACAATTACGCACAGTACTTTTGTAAGTGTCGGGCAAAAGAATATTTTTTAATGGTGGGCACTAGCCATTTTAGGCTTTGGGCACAACTAAGACCAGAAGCGCTGGTCATTCTATTACGACGCCTCTTATTAGACGACCACCGTTACTTCCTATGAAGGGAAATACAATTTATATTCACGAGTTTTCGGGATTCGAACCGGAGCTCTTCGGTACGGAAGTCAGAATCAATAACCACTTTTCCACCTGGGCTGTTAACTTTTATGAATATTAAAATACCTGTTATAGATAAACCTGAACCAGCCAAACTTTAACATTTGCTTCCCAAAACTATTTGTCTAAATTCAAACTATGCCGGAAAAAGTTGTTGTATGATGAAAAAATTTACATGATCTTTCCCTTTTATGTTAAGTGTTAACAGCAATAATACATTGAAAACAAGATTCAACAATCAGTTTATTTAGGTTTCAGATTCAGCAGAAGAAACTTCAAAAATGCAATAAGGTATTATAGAAAGCATTTATGTGAATGTCATCCAATAATGTAAAAATTTACACATTAAATGTTACTTCATGACATGCTATAGTAGCAATAACCTACATCAAAGAAGAAATAAGCTCACTTCACATTTATCACACACTTCTCAGCTAAACTACTGCTAGTTATTACTGCTAATTTTTAAACACTACTACTATTACTAGTTCTAATACTGGCAGTTAAAATTACAGGAATAATAATACATTGAAAACAAGATTCAACAATCAGTTTATTTAGGTTCCAGATTCAGTAGAAGAAACTTAGAAAAGAAAATAAGGTATTATAGAAAGCATTTATGTGACTGTTATCCAATAATGTAAAAATTTACACATTAAATGTTACTTCATGACATGCTGTAGTAGCAATAATCTACATCAAAGAAGAAATAAGCTCACGTCATATTTATCACACACTTCTCAGCTAAACTACTGCTAGTTATTACTGCCAATTTTTAAACACTACTATTATTACTAGTTCTAATACTGGCAGATAAAATGCATTTCAAAAGCAAATTTTGTAGTCAAAACATTAAATTTTTCATAATAAAAGCATGTTTAAAAATTTATCAACTTCTGATATTACAGCATTGCAACTAATAAACTTAGGTTATTTATTCTTTCATGGAGAATGAAGGCAGAAGCTGAAAATAATTTTAAGCTGTTTAAACTTTTGTTAAAACGAATTAAACTTTGAAATAAAACATGCTTATCAATGCAGTTTCTATTTCTCCATGTTTCATTTAACTGAAATGATACAATAATAATATTATATAAATCTTTAGCCAAAGTTATAATTTTTTTTATTTAAAAAGAGTTTTAAATTAAAAAAAGATTTTAAATTAAAAAAAAAGTTTTTAAATTTATTTTACATCATTTTTACTGAAAGCACATTATATAACTCTTTCAAATTAATTAAAATCTAAAACGTCGAAATTCATTCATAGCAATTTTATAAACTATAAATAAAGATGGAAAAATAGATTCAGAAAAACAAAAGCAAAACTGCAGAATAAAAATTTCTCTTTGCCTCTAATGTATAAAAGCTGTAAATATTTTTATAAAATTTTTTTTAAAAAATAAAGAACAATAATTTACTGTATAACACAGCTCGGTCTTTTTTCATCTGTATGTTCCATTTTGGGGTAAGTTGACTGGACTGGCAAAGATTTTCTTCGTCTTTTCACTGCTGCTTCCAGATCAAATGAAATACCTGCCTGGGTCAACATAGTTTTAAAGATTTGCAGGATATTGATATTTTCCTTTGCTGAAGACTCCACAAAAGCGTAGTTCCAGTCTATGTTAACAATAGATTCTGTAATGTCCTTTGGCACAGCTCTGGCGCTGTTCAAATCAATTTTGTTGCCAACGACCACAACGGGAACACGTTCTTCCACTTGTCGAATCTCTAGTATGAGGTCCCTAAGATCTGACACCATATTAAAAGTCTCCATGTTGTCAATTGAATAGACCAAAATGAAAGCATCGCTGGTTCTGATAGCCATCTTTTTCATCTCCGTAAATTGGTAGGATCCACTCGTATCAAGTATATTTAAAGTTAAACTAGTTCCTGAGATATCGTATTTCCTGTAGTACATATCCTCAATTGTTGGTTTGTGGTGTAAGGGACACCTTTCATAGAGGAACTGCTCGACAATAGCAGTTTTTCCTACGCAAGCATCACCCATAATTACAACTTTTAGATGATCGTTTGTCCCCTTTGCCATATCTTTCGTATTCATAATTGATAGTTTGCGAGAAACAAACATAATAAATATTCTTCGTTTTTCTGGATATTTTGGATATTTACCTGCAAAACATAAAAAACAGCCTGTATACTATAATGAACTAGTGATGAAATAAAGCTGTAATTTTAAATGATTTAATAGGTTTTGTGTAATTTTTATACTAATAAGCAATACATATAAAAGCTAACATAAAGTTAAATGCAAATATCTTATACCCATTTGAAGGACATTAAAATTATGCATATGAAACTCTGAATGAAAAATTAGCTCAGGCTTATAGCCTTTGCTACATTAAAAAAATAAAAATGCATAAACACAACATTGTACCCATATTTTATTTTTATACACTCCTATTATGATTTTCTCAAAGCAACAATTGGTTTTCATGTAATCCTTCTTCTCCAGTACGCTGCGGAATAAACGCAGCTGCAAGACATACATGTATACGGAAACGCTATAGCAAAGATTATGACAGTCAAATTAAAAGAAACCTTCCTTGCAAACTATAGAATAAAAGCTTAATTTAGTTCATGAGATCATAAATTCTTTAAAGTCAGTGGGATTCAAGATATCTAGTAAATATTTGTAGAGTCTCACTATTTTTCATTTTCTGTAAAACCTCCAATGACAGTAGCTGACCTATCCGACACTTTTCCTCTATCACAAGCAACAGCTAAATTTGGCAAAGTTATTCTCATTTAGAATGTCTTGAAGGTGGCGGGAATTTCAGAATCTGTTGCTTTCAGAAATGTGGCTTCTTGACTATCGAATTCACCGTCGTCATCTTCAGGAACGTCTACTGAATCAGACTCTAAGACAGCATTCGTTTCTAAGTCTGTAATCGTCACAAAGAAACACGAATTATCTTTATATGTCCTTGGTTTAAAATTCTAGGTTTTTCCTTATTTGTTTTCTTTCTCTCTCTCATACGTTGTAATTTTCCGCTTTCAGAAAGGTCGATCGACCCAATGGCCATTTTTCTTTCACGCCGTTGGTCTGTTAAGAAATTTCGCTCTATGCTTTTAATCTTCACGGAACATTTACATTGTTCGTAATTCAAACATTTGCATGTAGAAATATAAAACAAAATATTGCTTGCATGATCGAGAAATCTTTCTTGCTTTTATCAGCTTCCTTACGAGATTTTATCATTCTTTTTACGTTTTTGTACACTGCGGGGAAAAAAGGGGGAGGACAGTTCTATATCTCTCGCTCTACTGGGCCCATTGACGAAATTCAAATTGCGTTTTTCATGTCTCGAAAGCGTGACTTAGGGTATGTATTAGATTTATATATAGCGTTGTTCTAATATAGGTATTTTGACCCAAAATCGTACCTTTTTCTGAAATGTAATGCAAATATTTTCCATATTTCGTTTCTACGACTCAAATTATGCCAAACTGCTAAATGTTTTAAAAATCGCCCGAGTAGTTTTTAAAAAATTAGCTCTCAAAATTGTAGCTCCTGAATGCTAATTGAATTTGGTATATATTTATTATTCTCTCTTTTTTTATTAAACTCATTTGATTCTTCCTTTTACATTTCGAAATTTAGGTTCATTACAAATAAAATTCGCTCATTTTTGTGATTTATATTTAAAATTTGTGTTTTTAAATAATCTTTATAACTTTTCGAAAATAATTTTGAATTATAACCTATAAAATGTTTATCGTCATCTTAAGGTAGATGTATTTACCAGCAAAAAATTAGTTTTTTTTTTTTCAAAATTCCCGAAGATATACGTGAATTTACATATTGCCGGGTTTTGAAATTTGGCATATTTGTTGAACATGGAAGAATGAATTTCAAGAAAAACGTTTTTTTCGTTCTACACTAGTGTTATGCTTTGGAAAACCGCTATGGAAATTTTGGACCGAACATTACATCCCATAGCTATGTATGTAGGATGGCTTGAGGTCAAAAGAGTAAATCCAGCTTAGCAGTACAAAAGTTTAAAGGTAATAAATTACATGCTTAACAGTGAACCTAACCTAATATCGAATCCCGGCGAATATGTTTCTGCATGGATATTTTTCTCCATAATTAATAGCCATTTTTCCTATAAAGTCCACCTCAATGGTTTGCCTCCCCGTAATCCTGGTATGCTTTGCGTATTGCATTAAACAAACAAATATCAGAGAAGGAATTTTACGTTTAAAGCTAATATATTTAGAGTTATATTATCCACGAAAAATGGGAGAAATTATTATTATGAAATACGAATATTTAGCTTTAAACATGAATGTATTAATAGAATATGATGAGAAGCAAAAAACGAAAAGTCAATAAATTAGATTGCCAAGAATCAGCTGAAAAAGAATTAGTTTTCTGAGTAAAATAATACTTTTTCATAGTAAAAGTGAAAGAAATAGAGATGTTTTAATTTCGCAGCTAAGTTGCGGACGTAAAATGCTAAATGAAGTTACTTCCGGTTTCCAGTTTCTAAGTGGTGAAGAATTAATTTCACCGGATTTAAGTATTTAAAAAGGAACAGCTTAGCCCTTAAACATCCAAATGTTATAAATGTTTCAGATATTCCATTAAAAATAGTTCGTTTTAAAAACCACACTATTTGAATAATCCTGGTGGCCAAAGCGATATCAGATCAACACTTGCACTTACACTTAACCCCCTAAGACTTCTGGGTCCAGTGAAGGAGAAGCGAAAATCTTTTTGTAAAACACGTGGTACTTGAAACTGCACTGGAGAGATCTGCTTCTTGAAACGGAGGCACAACAGTGGGAAAACTTCATCGCGACCTTGCCAGCAATAAATAATGTAAGTTTTAAGATATGCATACTAATAGAGAAAGCAATACTTATTGAGCTTCACGAGTTTGCAGATGCTTCCGAATCTGCTTATGGATGCGTCATTTACTGCAAATCAACATCAGAAAAATGGAACCTTCGAAGTAAATTTGGTTTATAGCAAATCACGTGTATCAATCTTAAGCGTGCTACATTACTGAGGTTAGAGTTATACACAGCAGTTCTTTTAGCAACTGATGGCAAAAGTGAGGAGTGCCTTACAGCTAAAGATGGCTGACATCTTCCTGTGGAAGGACTCAATGATTGTCCTTTCCTGGATGCGAAAAGAGAAAACCTTTGCGAATAGTACAGCGACAATACAAGACTTGACAACAATGACGAGACGTATCTCCCGGGAACAATCGTGCGGATCTTATTTCAAGAGGAATGAATCTTGAGAAACTCGCTAAGAATAAACTGTGATTCGAGGGACCTACTTTTCTGACCGATCAAGTGTATCCCAAATGTGAATCGTGAAATTCCTCTCTCCGTCATAAGAAACGAGTTTACCAGTGAACGTAAACGTAATGACTTGCATGTTCTTACTCATGTTAACTTACATGTTAACTCCTTTATTCAAGAATTTTTTAATGTTAGTAATGATTACATAAAAATATTGCATGTTACAGTTATCTTTCCAGATTTATCCACAAACCCTGAAAAGTCCGATTGAAAAGAAACTGGGACCCTTGACAACGGATGAAATCAACAATGGGGAAATTTTAAAGGAGATTCAAAGTAAAGAGTTTCCAAAGGAAGTCAAATACTTATGTCGAAAAAAAAACTATTCCTTATAAAAGTAAGATAAAATGTTTAAACCCTTTTTAGACAAAGAGGGAGTAATAACAATGAACGGTAGAATAAAGCATGGTAATATAATTTTAACATTAATTTTCCAATCATCCTGCCGAAAGGTCATACATTAATTAAGCTCATTTTAGAATTCTATCATAAGCGATATTTTCATCTATGCCCTACTGCTTTGCTACATTACGTTATACAAAGATTTGGACCCATTTAGGGGAGGGCAATGTGTAGGAAAGTCGTGCATGATAGCATTAAGTGTTTTCGAGTTAAACCCATATAACTGAACAATTAATGGGTGATTTATCGAGAGAGATGGGGATGCCTGACTTCCCATTCGACTGCGCAGGTCTGTTATTTTTTGAGGGAGGCCCATTTCCTGTCAAATATAAACATTAGCGGAAGGAAATTTATCATAAAAGATATTTGTGCATTTTATATGCTCAGTCACAAAAGCCGTTCACTTCAAAATTGCTACTGATTTAACATCAGAAGCCTTCGTAGTGTGTTTAAAGAGCCTTGTTGTATGTAGAGGTTTATGTTCGAAATAATCTTCAGACAAAACCATAAACTTCATAGGGGCAAATAAAGAAATTTCTAGGTTACACAATTTAGTTGTAAAACCAGATGATGTTGACCTTGTCAGTTACATGCCAACTGAGGGAATTGACTAAAATGTTTTTCTACTGAGAGCATCTAACTTTGGCGGCCTCTGGGAAGTGGAATTAAGGCGTTTAAGTATCATTTAAAAAGAGTTATAGGCAATTCCAGATTGAGTTATGAAGAATTAATAACAGCCATTATCCGAATAGAAGGAATTCTAAATTTAAGACCGCTGGAACTTCGGTCGTCCGATACGGATGTGTATGATGTATTAACTCCTACCCATTTCTTAATCGATCGGCAGACCCTTAAATACTGTTGTAGAGCCAAATTTAATTGAGATTGATAAAGATAATCGATAATTGATAAAGATAATCGATTATCTGATTGAGAAAAACTAAAAAAAAATAATTCAAGTGTTTTGCAAGAAGTGGCATATTCAACATCTTAATAATTTACTACAGAGGTTCAAGTGGATAGTAGAAAATATAATGTGAAAATAAAAGAGTTGGTGCTTCTCAACGATGAAATTCTACTGCCTCAAAAATATGCATTAGGTGGAAGAATTGAGATTCATTTTGGGGAAGAAAAACGGGTCAGAATTTTTAAAATAAAAACTCAATATGGAGTCAGTATCAATATCTATTTCAAAAATCTGCATTTTACCTGTTGATATGTAATCTCATATTACTGTTATTTTATGTGTGATTTAATGTTATTATTGTTAGCCCAAAAGGAAAATTCGCCCGGAAGATAAAAGTTATAAAAATTAGAAGATTA